GTTTGCAGGCGGGAAGTTCAAAACGCTTTTCTGGTCCGAGTTTGATCAGGCGGTCTTCCTGTCGGCGTGAAGAGCAGCAGACTACAGTATATAGTATACTGTGGATATCTACAGTTTATATGTCTTTAATAACTTAATAAAAAATCTAAAAAATCAGCCGATTAATCGGTAATCAGATTTTTTCCCCCTAATAATCGGTATCAGCCCCAAAAAATCCACATCGGCCTTAATCACAACATCCAGCAGCATGTTCAGAAACTACGACCTTTAGAAGTTTTATAACAAACTGATTCAGCTGTAAAAAAAACACTTTGTCTTTATCATCCGATCCAAATTATAGACCTGCGTACAAATATGAAGGTGAGGAATGTCTTTGGCACACAGGCCTCTTATTGTTCGGAGGAAGAAGGAGGTCGTGAGTTCTGTGGAAGAAGCTTCACACCTCTTTAACTGTCACTGCTGTCACTTTCTTTTTACAGGACAGTTACAAACAGGAATTTGACCCACAGGCACTTTTCCAAAGAAGTGCTCCGAGTAAAAAAAGTGGATCGGCCTTACAGAGGAATGAAAACGTCTTTATCTATCACAGATGGAATAATTATGATTATTAGTCTGTGGGTTTTGTGAAGGCGCAGTAGGACTGTGCAGGTGCAGGACGGTTTTTCATAAACAGGAAGTTTCTCCAGAATCAGCTGAGCAGGGTTGGCTGTCTTCATGGATGTGATGACGCGGCTGTAAATACTGGATATAATAATCTGCCAAAGCACAAACAGCACAACTTGAAGATGTAAAAATACAAAAGTCCAAACTGAAGACGACAGATAAAACCTGCTGCAGCAACAGGAACGGGAGAAGCTCTGCAAACACAGAAAGACGGATCAAACCAAAGTCCAGACCTGTGGAGGGCTGCAGTTTACTTAATATTTATAAAATGACATATTAGAGCTGAAAACCTGTGAATCTTCGTCAAACTTCACTTTGAGTTATTTTGGTTTTGGCACAGAGCTGCAGATCTTCACTCCTGACTGCCTGGATCCTGATACTTATGAATCTGACTCTCAGGAGGACGTGACCTTTAGAAAGTATTTTGAAGGATTTCTCTGGAAAGAGGTTTTTCTGTCTGCCCTGATGAGAGATAAACCAGCAGACGTTCACTCTCTGTTATCTTTGTCTGATGAAATCATCTTGGCGCTGACAGCTTCATTAGATCTTGTCCATGCAGAACAGGAACTAATGATCATATTACCCAATAGGACTCCGGCGGACTCTTTGAGCCCACACCCTCTCCCACACCCTCACCCACAGCTCCCACAGCATCTGTGTGGACATGCTTTATAGGGAGTGTTTCTTCAAGGTCATTTCCAGGAGTTTGAGTGAATTCTGGATTGTCGGCCTCTCCCTTCAGCAGAATCATGAACTTTGATTTTCTCAGCTCAGTTTTTGGTTAAAGAGGAGGTCCTGTAAGCAGCAGTCCGTTCTTGTGTTTGTTCATTTCGGTCAGGGGTCCTGAGTCCCTGTTTGCTTTCCATCTGACAAAGTTCAGGGTTGAGATTCTGTTTCTCTGCACGCCTGTACTTTATTTTGGATTGTACTATTTTGAGTATTATTACCCAGAATCCCACTGGATCTGTGACGGCTACACTCCAAACGCAAGCATACAGCGCCCACCGGATCTGATCCGCCACCGCCATCGACATCGGCCCCCAAAAATCCTCTAATAAAAACACCCACATTCCTCTCCCATTATCAAGTCCAGAACAGTTTCACTTACTGACTTTATTTTATTTTGAAAATGGATATTTTACTCTGTAACTGCAAACAACTGCCGCTGTTGCTCATGCTGCGCTGAATTGATGCGCCGTGCGCCGGCGTGCAGCAAAAATACCAGCCTCAGGTATCTGATTCGGCTGCTGTAGACGATCTGCAGCGGAGCTGGATGGTGGACGGATTCTGTGGAATCACACACATTGATGATAATGGTTGTGGATGTGATCCACAGGCCGTGCCGGAGCGGAGCCGTGCCGGAGCGGAGCGGAGCCGGAGCGGAGTGGAGCCGTGCCGGGTCCTGTGGGGTTTGCCTGTTTCTGTATCTCAAACTACAGTTGAGACCAAAAAAAAAACATTTATTTTTTTATTCAACATCGACCTCCAGGGTTGGAAATTTAAACCTCTCTGCTGGGAAGTTAAAATAATCGACTGCAGTTCTTTTAATGGCCACTTGAGGCCTGCTCCTGAAATGACCCAACCTCACCGCAGTACCAAGTTAAAGTTCGGGGGCACCAAAATCAACACAAACCAAAAGTTCTTCACTGGAGCTTTAAATCACAAACTTTTCTGTCGCTTCATTTAGAATTTGGTCGTTTGTTTGCTGCAGATCGATCTCCGAGTAAGAGCACATCATAACCCTCAAAAATAAAGAACCTGAAACACAAACCTCTTCACCGACCTCCGCAGCTTCGAGGATTTCAGTGAAATAATTTGGATTAGAACAGAAACTTCCAGAAGACTTCCTGTGACGCTGCGTTTGTCCCCCCGGGTACAAAGTTTAATAACCGGCTAACAAACTCTGGCCTCTGAAGACGGTAAAGAGTTGTTTAGATCTGCCTGAATGAGTCAGACAGACATTATAAAGGAGGTAACAGTTTAATTATGTCCATTATTTTAATTGGTTGTGCTGCCCACACACCCCGGCCCTGAAGGTATGCAGTTTGATGTCATCAGAGGAAGAATGCTCCCCCCCAAAAATTGCACAATTACAGCCCTGATACTGTATTTGTGTGCTAATCTGTCATGGCAGCTCCCAATCTGCACATCTTTGCAGAACAGAGCAGCAGACTGCCTGAGGGGGGCGCTGCAGAGAACAGCCTTTAGAGACTGACATCTTTACTGCTCCCAGATCATCACACCTGTCTGGTTTTATAGGAAACATGTTACATAAGTTCTTCACCCCATGACCGCACAGACAGCCTAAAGTACGAGACGGATGAGTGAAATCTGCACCAGCTCATGTGTGATTTACTGACATCTTCTTTGTTTGTTTGTCTTTCTGTTTGGGCAGGGAGTGACATTTTCTTTAGACCATGTCGAGGTTCGAAACCCACCCAGAAACTGCCGCCTTTTCACCCACATCATGAAGTTTAAACAGCTCCTGACAGAAATGACAGTCATCCCCTTATAGCACTAATACTGATGCTTTCAACAGAAGAAGAGCCTCCAGAGCGGAGCTGTTATCAGAGAGGATCCTCTCCTGCAGAGAGGCCGTCAAACAAACACCACCGCTACCTCTCTGTAAGCTGAACCGAGTCAGTGCTGACTGATGGGAGCTGTTTTCTTTGTCCTTTAAGAGAGAGACTTTACATTTTCAGCTTGAGTGAAGAGACACACCCGAGAGAACATCTGTGAGCGATACGGAGGATCTGCCGCCCTCATGGAAACAAGATTTAACCCAGACTTCAGGAGTCTGAACCTGGATCAGAGTCTGCTGTGTTTACACCTGAGTTTGTATCTCATCACAGCTGAAAGTGAAGGTTCGGACATGAAGAGGGCCGAAGTTTTACTTTCACTTCTGCTCTCTGAGTCACAAACAAGTTAAATATCATGTTTCACACATTTGATAGAAATTTAGTCAGATTTTGAGATTTTAAACCTCAATGAGTCACATATAGATCTTTAAAGTGAAAACCTTTAGAGGGAGAACTGGACGGACTGACCCTGAGTCTACGTTCAGACTGCAGGTCAGTTCTGATTGGTTCTGATCCGACCCAGGCCTCTTCTGTATGTGGATATAAATCAAATTGTTGTTGTAATGTGAGCGACTGCACAAAAAGATCGGATTGAACAAAAATCCGAATTGTGCATCAGAACCTGCAGAGTGAACGTCGATCCTTAAACTTGTGAAATACCGGGTTGGCAAATAAAACATTTGAATCATTGGTGAATTTTAACAACTGGTTGCAAAATCTTTCTTTTGCAAAGATTAATTTATCTTTGCTGGATTTTTCCTCTGAGAGGAAGGGAGAGAGAGAGAGAGAGCAGGGAGGTGCAGGGAGGTGCAGGGAAGCTGGAACAGACTGATCACAGCCTTCATATCTGAGCAGCAGCTGAACCCAAACAAACACACGGCATGTTTCAGACTGCGTTTAAAAACAGTTTTAGGTTTATATTAACAATATTGATCAGATCCTACAAGAATCCTGATCTGGGACTCAGATCACTGCGGTCAGACGTACTTCATGATCTTGACTTTATAGGATTAATAATCCAGATAAGTTCTACACCAGCGTGGTCTGGGATCAGGACTTTGAGGAGGCAGGCAGCTTCAGACTAACTGTTACATGTTCAGGATTATGCAACAGCACATGTACAATATGTGCTGCACATTTCATTTCAGTGTTTACCTGCAGCGTCGGAGTGTTTCTGAAGAACAAACTTTTCCATCAGTGGAGCAGGAATCAGGACGATGCTGCAGCAGCTTCACTACGGTGAGCCTAAAGGGACACAAGAACAGGTGTGATGATAAATGTAATAACACTGACAGCCCTGTTCGATGTTCAGACTCTCCTTCATGTCTGTTTTTTTCTTTAACTCTAAGTTCATTTAATTAATTTCTCTTTTGTATCTGTGTTTATGCTGCTGTCATTTGGACTTCGCCCCTGTGGGACTATTGAAGGAAAGTCTTCTTATCTTTATGAAGCTGATAAGTTGGAAGGACCTCAATTGAATTTTTGGTTGGAGTAATACTTGGACAACTGTTAATGAAATCTTAAGACTCTTCATCATGTTCCGATATCATTTAAAATGTTTAGTTTTAATATTTGGTGGTTAAAATCCTTCAAAAGTCAATGAATAAAATTCCCATGAGCCTCCACTGTGTTTAACATTCGCAGCTTTTAAATTTCAACATGTTTGTTCTAAACAAAGACAGTCGACACGGTGAGACCAAGAACAGCCTGTTGTAGAGTCTGAAAATGAGCGTACTGGTGTTAAAACTAGGACCAAAGTTAAACCAGCAGACAGTCGCTCCTGTTAGCCGTCAGCTCTCTGCTCACCTGTTTGTTACACGCTGAAGACATCGGCCCTGGTGGCAAAGATGTCCTCTTTGGTCTAAAAGCTTCTTGAAGTCTACAGCGGTGCAGAAAGAGAATCAGTGAAGTTTAAGTCGAGGAGGAATCAAGTTTGGTTAAAGTGTTGACATGAAACAGTGAGGCCGCTCACAGACTCAGACACCCCTCACCTTTTGACCCCTGCACTGATGTCAACATGGATGTCTGAAGAAAATCCCACCAGCGTGGAGAGGACTAAAGGGAGCGGCGTCCCACTGTTCACCTCCTCCTGGAATTCTTCATAAAGCTCCGACACACAGGTGACAAATATCAGAGACCGACAACAGACCAACAACCGGGTCGGTGTGATGAACTCGTCTGCTCGCATCGATTTTGAGTTAAATGTCGTCCACATGAGTCTGTATCTACAAAATCAGTGATTTTAAAGAAGGTGGTCGGATCGTAAATAAAAGATTTCCAACAAAACAACTTCATCAAATATTCCAGTAATGATAAATATTATTCTATCTGTTTCAAATACAGTGTTGCTGTGTCATGGATTATGTGAACAAAGGCTGGCAAAGCAGTACAGGCTCGTAGGGCCGGAGCTTTGAGTGAACTTGCGCCCCCTGGTGGACATTATGAGGAAGTGAAAAACTTCAGCAGCAGTGGAGTAAAAGGTCTGAATGACAGGACAAACTTCAGGTTCTGATGGATACCACAGGTTCAGCAGAGACGGTGGTGTTGTGTTGAGTTCTGATTCAGGAGATGGAGTTTTGACTACAGTAGAAATATTTTATTTTATTAATTAAACTAACAAAACAGGTCATTTATCTTCATTGGATTTTTAAAACAAATATTTTCATTCATCGTGACTTTTATGAACAAGAAAAAACCCAAGAGCCCAAAGTTTTCACAGAACATATCAGAGCGACAACAAGATGTATCCAACAAACTTTAATTTTCTGTATCAACAAACAGCAGAAAAATAATGTCAACATTTTCAGTCTGCATAAATTCACTCGAACAATGAATTAACAAAAACAAACTAGTCTGAACAGAACGACAGAACAACGTGATATAAACAGGTGATGAAAGATTTTTAAGGTTCCTCTTCCTGGAAGGTCTGACAGGACTCAGGAGGAGGAGGAGGAGACAGTCTGCCATCCTGACACATCAGACAAATGAGAGACATCAGGTCTAAAAGCCAAAATCCAATCAAAGCTTTCATTCCAATAAGAAAATGGATTTCTTTATACAGCCAAAGTGTGAAGAGAACAATTACTTACAGCAGGAGGTGCAGGAGCTGCAGGAGCTGCAGGAGCTGCAGGAGGTGGGGGATGCATTGCACTTGGCTGAAAATGGGGAATCATCAGGGGTCCACAGTGGCCTTCATTATATGGTGGACACCACGGCATGGAGAGCAGGAAGGTTGGATACAGCATTAAATTGTGTCCGAGCTCAAGTGGCTGACCTGCTGTCTGAAACGGGACATGGTTAACAGGAAGAGGGGCTGTCCAGGACGGGGCGTCTAGGAGGAAAGGTGGGACATAAATTTAACATTAACATCATGTTACTGTGACTACGAACAACAATAATAGTAATGATGATAACTCCACAGCAGAGGAGCGCAGGGATAATGAGAGTTAGAGGACAGAGAAGAAATGAACGGTTGTTGCTGTGACCTAAAGACACTTTTCATGGAAACAACAAAGGAGTGAAAACACTCGTCTGTCGGCATGAAGTCAAATAAACAAAAGAAGGAAAAAAATCATTGAAAAGTCAAAAATTCTGTTGATTTTTTTAGTCCATCAAAATTTGGATTATATACAAAGAAAAAGTTCATTCTTACATTTGATGAACTAAAACATTAGTGTTTCTTTCAGCACAGGAGCTTGTATTTTCATGAATTTATTCTGTTAAACAATATAATTTTATCAAGTCACCATAGTTTCATATCAAATGTAGTGTTTTCTTTTTTCAGTTCTCTCTGGGATTAATAAAGTATCTATCTATCTATCTATCTATCTATCTATCTATCTATCTATCTATCTATCTCTCTGTCTGTCTGTCTAATATTAACAATATGCCATGTTACATATATATATATATTAAAACAACATTTCACTCCAACTTTGACTTTTATAAACAAAAGTATTTTCTCTTGTCAGCTGAAGTAGTTTAGAAAAACGGTTCTCTTCACGTGGTCTGCTGGGTCAGGATCAATTATTACAGGTGAAATAAAACATGATCGATATTTATCGAGGTCGGTAATATTTCGGTTCATCCTCCTCTGTGTCCTTGTCACAGAGAAGTGATCATAAACTCACTCGCTGAGGAGCACGGTCCTCCCTCAACCTTCGTCCCGGCCGCACTCTCTCCTCTCCCGGTCGGTCTGGTTCGGAGGTCCAGGGGATTCCCGTCGGCGGTCCCATCAGGAGCTCCTGCCGGTGGAGGGCACTGGTGTCCAGATGTGGCCGACTGAGACGCACCTCTGTCCGTGGATTTCTTCACGGGGACTCCTGCTCTGCGGCGTGGATTCTTCTTGCCGGTGTTTTGGGCTTTCCTCAGATTTCTCTGCAGGGTGTTGATCCGACTCCTCTCGGAGATCAGGCGGCACTTCCAGCACACACACAGGCGGAAAGGACAGACGCTGGCGTGGCCTTTCTGCAGGACGATGGTCCCGTGGTTGCGGCACCTGCAGCACTTCGGCTGTTGTCTAACTTTAGACATGACGGCAGGTACGCTGTTTGACTCTGTTTGTGTAGTCTGACCCCCAGTAAAGCCCCCTCCTCAGTGACTCGAACCCCTGACCCAGACTCAACTTTGCATCAAATGTATCATTTTTAGATGTAGGGTCAGTGACGGACCAATCAGAGCCTCACTTTTCTGCAGCTGCTCGGAATAATTCGAACGTTTCTCCATAAAAACGTCGAAAAAAACAGATTTTAGAGTTTTGAGGAGAATTCAAACTCAACATGAATGATTCAGAAGGAACACAAAGACGTCATATTCAACGTTGAAACTATACATTTGTGTTTTTCTATGAAAAATATGTTTCCATTTAACATTTGAGCAGATGTTACTGATACACTCCCATAGACTGTAGGGGAGACTGGGGTAAGTTGATCCACCCCTTGTTGGTTGGAAATGGTCAAAGAAATTGATCATGTGACCAAATATTTAGGAGATGGAGATCAATTCATGGAGTCTGTGAAGGTTCGAAGCTCATGGGTGAAGAGGTTTGACATTTATTTACAAAAAAACACGTTTCACTCTGTCAAGAGAATTTAGTCTTTAGTCATCAGTTCTATTAGAATTGTGTTCAGACCAAAAAAGATCATTTTAAATTAGTTTTATACATCAGTTGTGGTATCTATGAGCTCCAACATGAGGTCAAAAACCTCAAAGTCCACCATTTTATCTTGGAGGACTAATAAAGTCATCATAGTAGTTCAGGGGGAACAGAGAAAGTAAAGGAGTCTGAGGAGAGGATCAGGGTTTACCTTCAGACTGTTGAAACTTTTTCTTTTCATAAATACAGATCTGTAAATGTTCTTAATCACTTAAAGACATTCTCATCTTCAAATGTTGTTTTTTTTGTTATAAAACAGCTTTTTATCAGTTATATGTAATAATAATAAGTATAAGTAATAAGTATAATAGATAAAAATACACATTAATGTGAAGAAGTGACTGTTATTTAGGGAGAGAGAAGGTGAGGGAGGGCTGGAGGGGAGAGTGGGGGGGTAGTAGGGATACGGCTCAACTTACACATGTACCCCATACACGTACATACACATACATACACGTACATACACGTACATACATATACACACATACATACACGAACATACCCTCATTATACGGAAAGCTAACATGATTCAGTGAACCAAGAAATACAGTGAGAGTGAACATTTCATTTCCTTGTTTATTTACATAGCGTAAGGTGTTGCAATAAAATTCCTCGTCACCATTTTATTATAAATACACCATTTTAACCAAGGCTTGACAACCCTCATTAAAATACATCCTTCAAACCTTTTAAAACGTAATAGTAAAACAAATGCTTAAATGGATACAATATTTCATTCTCGCACCTCTTAAATGTTAGTAAATCATGCAAAGCAAGAATATAGAGTATGAAAATAAAGTGATATAGATTGCAAGGTGTTGCTTTACAAAGTAGGACTCAAATAAAAACAAGTATATGTGGTGAAAAATACAAATACTGGGTCTGGTGGCAAAGCTTAAAGATCTCTCTCAAAGAAATGTTAAGTAATGGCTTTTAGCATTAGTGCCATATATGAGATTCATGTACAGTACATACATTACTTGTCTGTGAAGGGAAAATAATGAGAATTGTAACTATTAAACATTCAGACCATTCGTTTTTAGCCCTGTGTGACTAACACACTGTCCACACTGAAACGTTATCATCTTAGAGTTAGATTCTGACATACAGTAGCTGGACTGTAAAAAGGCTTACCTGATTCCACTGTCCTCATACCATTATGATTCGCATTGCTCATGCATCAGTCTGTTTACAGTGTCACCACCGTACCATCTTATTATACTCCACAGCCCCTTTGGGTGTCCAAGAGTAGTTTGCAGGCACTTACAAAGCATGGTTTAGGCCTTTAGATGAGCTCAAGATTAGATACAGGTTTAAATGGTTTAAAACAATCAGATAAAACACAGTATGAGCTTCAGTATTACTGTACTGTTGCATAAAAATCATTGATTACAGTGAAGTTCAGAGTCAAACTGATGCTGCAGGTCGTTGGAAGACATCTGAGGAAAGAGCTGGAGATGACCTGCATAGACAGAATCTGTAACAGACAACATTGCACAAGAACATTAGACCTCAGAGCTGCCAAGATACCGAGTATTAGTGCCGTGTTGGAAACACTGCACCACGCTGAGAGAGAGGCAAACCAACATTTCACGTACCTTTTAACGTGAGAAGAGGAGCAGGGACTGGTATGTGTTGGTCTTGAGGTTTGATGTGTAAAGTCCAGAACAGTCAGATGGTGTTGATGGTCATCATATGTTGGATTATGTTTACAGTTGAGGGATCTTGCTCTTTGAGCTTCATTTCATTAGATTGGTGCGTTGCAGTAACTCCAGGTTTTTATGAGGATCGGGGATGGAGGAGATATTGGCAGTGTAGCCCAGAAGAGAAAAGATCTTGAAGCTTGGCATTATTAAAGCTCACACTCTTAGTGTTAATTCATCTTCAGAAGACTCCTTATTCTGCTCTGCAGAGTTGTATTTTCTCTTTAGCTAACTTCCTTTTTCATTTTCAAAAATATACACATGTACAAAGATTTTTGTTTGTACAACAAAAATTTGGTTCCTCTTGACAATCAGGCTATTGGTGATGAATAGTTTTGGTTATTGTGTAATACACACAATATTTTCAGTAAAATCTTGTTTGTGGAACAATAAATGCTTATGATGTACTTTTAAAACCAAAAATACCCAAAACACAACTTTTGAAAAAGGTATTTGAAAATAAGAAACAGCTTCTGTGAAAGCCGGGTACAGTACAGTAATCAGAAAGTCTGATAAGATAGCACTAACATAACTAAAAGTAAATATGAAATATACTATGAAAAAAATGATTCAGCTTGTAGAAAAAAAACCGAATATTAAAACTCCTGTAACAACCACATGCAGAGCAGAATAAAGGAAGCCCTTATTCCACTGAGAATTAGGCATCTGGTGAACACTGGTTTTGTAGTGTATCCTTCCTTTAAGAATCACTCCTTTCAGACTCCTCAGTATCGGCGGCTGTAGCTAGGTGAACCATAGGAGGTGGAAGAGAAGGTTGTTGTGAAACTGGATCCTGTGGCATCAAAGCTACCTCTTCTGGAGCCTGACCTTGAACCAGTTCTTGACCCGGACCGTGACCCAGTAGCAGAGCCTGACCCGCTCATGCTGTAAGGACTGTAGAGGCCTTTGCTGGATTGGGATGATGCTTCGAGTAGTCGCAGACCAGTCCCCTCTTCTATCATGCTTCTGTCCATGGCGTCTTTGAAGGAAATCTTAAGCTTGGTTTTAGGACATGTGAGGTATTTAGAGTATGCACTAACATCCCGTAACTTCTGGGCAGTGCGTGCATCTAGGGTGCCCTTCTTCACAGCCTCATCTATGGAGACTCTGCCAGTTGCATCTGGTTCAATCAGCCCACCAGTGAGATACTGGACCTCGAGGAATCGCTGCCCAGCCTCATAGTACAGCCAGCCTTTCTTCAGAGCTTGGGCTGCTGACATTTTGGTTTTGGTTCTTGGATCCTCAAATCCATTGCAAGCTTTCTGGGCGAGACTGATCCGATCTACCATGATTTTATCCACGAGCCCTTTATTCATGGCATCTGCAACAGAGAATTTCTCTCCAGTATTTGGGTCGATGATACCTCCTGTGCAAGCCTGAGCCTCCAGCAACCTTTGACCTGTGATGTTGTCGACAAGGTTTCTGTGTATGGCCTCAGTGATGGACACCTTCTCCAGTGTTTCTGTGTCTAAGATACCAGCCACAGGTCCAGTTTCCTCTGTTGGGTCATTCCAGGTGGTTGCTGGTGCTTTTATAGAGGGTACTGGGCTCATGTTGTAAGAGGAAGAGGAGCCAAAGGAAGACGAACGGGATCTGACACCACTCATGTTTCCAGAAAGCATGTCTGCAAACTCTGTGATGGACAGGGTTCCTGCGCGGTACTGATCCAGAGCTGATTTGTCGATCAGGCCTCTTGAGATTGCATCATCAATGTCGTACTGCCGACCAGACCTTCTGTCGATGATCATGGATTTCACAACTCCATCAGATGAAGTGATAGTAATTTCTTCCCACTCACACTCCTGCTCTGCAAGCTCAAGGTAGGTCTGGTGGTCAATGAGTCCTTTCTGGTATGCCTCATACACAGACATCTCTTTGCCTGTCTCTGGATCCACAATGACGACTCTACGTTTGCGGACAGAAGACTTGGAGGATGTCTTTCTCTCTCGCTTCTTTTCTTTCAGCAGCAAAAGAGCAAGGCCCGTCTCTGGGTCTGTCATACACCTCTCCATCAGCTGCAGGTATGTGAGATTCTCTTCAGTGTTGGGGTCAAAGAAGCCCTTTGTGTCATCTGATGGGTCAGTGAGGATCTCATTCATTTCCTCATCAAAGAGGCCACGCTCATAGGCTGCTTCAACTGGCAAGCGATGGCTCTCCTGCGGATCGATGATTCCGCCTGTAGCAATCTGAGCCTCAAGCAGACGAATGCCGTGGTCTTTGAGAATGAGGCCTTTCTTCATGGCCTGGAATAGTGAGATGACCTTGCCAGAGTAAGGGTCCTTGTAGCCGGTGACAGCTCGTTCGGCTGAGAGGAGTTTATCCTTGAACTCAGGGCCAACAACATTCATCTTGACAGCTTCAGTGACATTTAGCTTGAGGTTTTTAATGGGGTCGATTACATACCCTGTGGCAGCTTGGGCCTCCAGGAGCTCAAAGGCAGTGCCTGGTCTGATCATATTCTTCTTCATTGCTTGGTAAATAGACAGACGGTCTTTGCTAGATTCTACATACACACCAGCAATACAACTGGTTCCCTCAAGGAATTTCTTCAGTTCTCTGCTGACCTCCTCCACTGTGATGGTTCCCTCAGTGAGTTCATTGTACATCTTTTGGTCAATAATCTGAGATCGGAGTAGCTCATCAATAGTGATCTGCTTCCTGAGACCCTTAAAGAG